CTCTTTCGTTCCCTCTCCTCACTTTGAAGCGAAATAGTTTTCTATTACGTGCTGAGTGCCTGAAGACTTTATATTTTCCCAACCAGTGACCCAATACGAGTCTGAAGAGCTGACACCCCACGCAGCACGAAACCACCAACCACACACCACACACAGACAACACACTAGTACCTATATAAATGAATTAATTTCATTAAATCCCTACTACAATAATATATAATTTATCGACTGTAAAGCACACACAACAGACTTCTCTCGACTACACTTCCGCCTTTCCACCTTACAGCCTAATGGCTGAGGGTGATGAGGAGAAGACGGAGGAATGTCTTCAGTGTCCGGACGAACTCTATGTAACTACGTGACATCCACACACACCATTCCACACACACGACCAACAAACACAACACCACACACACCACACCACACACACCACCTATCCAACACACACACACATCACAACACACACACACATAACCCCCTCTCTCACACACACACACACACACACACACACACACACACACACACACACACACACACACACACACACACACACACACACATACCATGTATACATCACTTCAGGGGACATTACATTGACTTACATGCATTTCCTGGAGACTTATCCTAACCTTAACCATAACCAACACATGCCTAACCCTAACCCTAACCCTAAACCTTACCCTTACCCTAACCCTAATCCTAAACCTAACCAAGTCTTCACCCTAAAATTAATGATTCCCCTCATGGGGACCTCCAATTTGTCCCCATAAGGGAAGCGAGTCCCATGCCTTTATTCTACCTGTTCATGCTCTCACACACACACACACACACACACACACACACACACACACACACACACACACACACACACACACACACACACACACACACACACACACACACACACACACACCACTTTTATCCCTAGGCCTTCCCACCCTCTTTTATCCCAGATGAAGTATTTCCTCTCTCTTTTCCTTCAACCTAGAATTTGACAGGCCTAGACAGAGAAAAACAGACGTTTCTGCTTTGCCAGCACAGACTTTGTAAAAGTCAACCTTTTTGTTTGGCAGTAAACGTCCTGAATAACAACAAGTCTCGGGTAATTTGATCAGCCTTCTCTATTTTCTCCATTAAGCTGTCTATGTGCGGTTGTGCATTATTTTCCCAATTCATGCATTACAACGCCTGTTTATCCGTCTGCCGTCGAATTTGGTGTATGGGTGTGCTCAAATATCTTCATGTAATTTGTAAATATTGGGCTGTCTGGGGAGTGTGTGTCAGGAAATGTGTATCTTTTTCTATTATAACAATTTGTTTGGGTGTAGGTATATCATTAAAATCCAGCATGTTGTGCTCCATAGCCTGAAACGTATCTCCCGTCAGCGGCAGATGCTGCACACAGAGAAACGGTCTAGAATTAAGAGTCAATTAGGGTCAATGGGATCGATATAGCGGAGTAGGAGAGTCTTCAGCAGAGTGTATAATGCTTATCAGTCCGCAGCAGAGCCTGTTGGTTTAGGTAATGATGTATGTGTTTACTCAGTGTATTAGAATGCAGTTAATCTCATCCTGTGTTTAAATGACAAAAAAGGGATGACAGGAACAAAAACAAGAATCCTTCATTGCTTTAGGGTGTGTGAGAAAGTTTGGGATCTGATTTAAAGGTCCCTAAAGGTTTTAGTTGAGTTGTCTTCAATTAATGCTTTTCTCTTAAATCTGTGTGTGTGTGTTTGTGGTGAAGGACAGATCCTCCTGCCCTGGATGCCTTCATCATGGACAAAGCCCTTTTGGATTTTGAGGTCTCTATCGACGCTGAGTGCAAACTACTAACAGTGGGGAAGCCTTTCGCCATTGAGGGTAAGCATGTGAGGACATTGCATTGACTTGCAGGCAAAGTAACATTTTATTTTTTTTAAACCTTACAACTAAATCGTTGGTTTTTACTTTTTTCATGTCTGTCTTTATTAACTGTTATTCTCTTCCTATTTGTGAAGCACTTTGTAACACATGCCATACAAATCAAGTTACACTTACCAAAACCACTAAATGTCTGACCCCAAACCTTTACAAGAAGCTTAACCTAATAAAAGTTGAATTCTTCACCCTCAAATCTAGTCTTAAAATCCCAAAATAAATTGACCTTGTGGGGACCTACTTTTTGTCTCGAGTTGTTGGCAAGTGAGTCCCCACAATGTGATTATGTAGGCCTACTACTCACACAGAAATACACACAAACCAAAAGTGAGTCACACACATCTGCATACACACTTACAGCGCCAATGCTGTACCTGTATGGCAACCTGCGCTCTTGTTCATGCAACAAAGAGAAAGATGCTCACGTATATTCGATATTCATATATGTGTGGGCTGGACCTGTATTTTTCAGGAAAGGAGTGAGAAGAGGGTATAGTTGTCGATTCCTGTTCTGTTTTCTGTGACTATCTGCCTCACCCTCTCAAACTTTCAGTTGCGCACGCTACTAAAGACCACCATGGAAACAAACAATGGTGTAGCTGTATTAAAGTCCGAGTGGAAACAGTCCTGAGTAAATCTGATTTTGTCAGAAATCGGGAGAAATGCGGGAGAAATATGACCCCGGGAGGAAACCGGGAGAGGGCAATGAAATCGGGATTCTCCCGCGAAAATCGGGAGGGTTGGCAAGTATGACTCACACACACATAGGAGATCAAATACCGTTGTTGGCTACCTGACTGACAGAATAACACAGTGATTTACTGTATGAACTTTTAACGCTGCAGGGTTCAAGTATTCAACCATCTATTATTAACAACAGCGTCCAGTCAGAAGACTCAAGCTCAACCCATACAGGTCAAATTAACTGCAGTAGAATCATGAAGTGTAAAGATGGATCCACTGCCAGTCAAAAAGCATCTAATGATCCACAGAGGGAGTTAGAATAATGAAACATGAGATCTACATTGCTTGACAAAGGAGTGAGCTTACATATGTGTGTGAGAGAACTGCAGGTTGTATTCTGTGTGTGTTCTGGTGCTATTGTAAAAGAAAATTGTTTTCAGTGGGAGGGCAATCTTTCCAAAGTAATGTCATTGCTCATTCTTCCATCAGAAAAATATGAGCCATGGCAAACAGGGGCAAAATGAAAGCCATCCATTGAAGTCCAGAAATTTGCAGAAAAACTTTTTACACTGCGGTTACATGTTTTCATGTTTAACAAAGACATCCTTCCTTCTGCTCATCCTATTTTCTTCTACACCTATAACTTTTAGATGTTTACTACCCAAACTACTTGAAAACAAGTTTATATTCATACATTAATAATAGCCTACCCTGTTTGTTGAAGAATGTTTTTAATATTACCATAATATATATGCAGCATGTAGTGGAACATGCTGACCTAAATATTTTGACTTCAGTTACAATATCTTGCAAGCAGTGACATGAAATCCTATCAAACCTAATGGGAAAACTGCATGTTGCTTCGCTGCAGCATTGCTTTGTTGGTCAATACGCCTGTAACTCAATAACGTGTTATTTCATTCTGTTCTGAGATGGGATATTGTGTTTCCAAGACTAATTGCAATTGTGCTCAATAGCTAATGACAAATAACGAGTAATAAATCATGTTTTTTTTTTTTAAGTAATTAATTGCTTGGCAGAACCACAATAGTTTTATGAACATTATAATGACTATAGCTGCAGTAATGACGGCTGTAGAAGAGCAGTGTCCCTCGTGGATATGTGTGTGCTATATGCTGCATATGGGCATTTATTTTTCAGAACAAGAGCAAATGTATTCAAAATAAAGCCTGCTGACTACCTGTCAAATGAAATTATGTCCCCAATAAAAGTCTGGTGCTCCCTTTCATTGAGGTGAATAAAGGCTCCAGCCATTACAGTGACTTTTATTGTATATATTATTACATGTCATATGCACACACACACCTTCTGAAGGTGACTTTGGAGAGCACATGTATTGCATGTACCAAGCGTTTAACCTCTAACCCAAACTCAGACTAGCCACTTCAATGTTTCTTCAGGTATAGAATTAGTCTGTGCCTGGCGCTGATGAATGTGTGTGTATATTTGTTTCGGTTCCCTTTCATCCCACACCTCTGAGACAAACAGAGAGACAGTAAACATATACTTGTAAGAGTGCCACATAGGACCGAACACTTACTTTGATACCATTTCTCTGTCAATCAAAGCATAACCTCCGAAAGACCCCACTCCCTTGTTCCCTGCTCACTATCCTGTTCACTGGAGATTGTCTACTACTTTCTTCACTGCATAAGAGAAAATAATCAAAGAGACATCATCGTAGCGTTACTCTTGATTTTTAGGCTGAGCAAACAGGTCTCATTGGTATGTACACAGGGTCAGTTTGTTGAACACTGGATTCAGTGTCCACGAGAAGAGGCAGTCGAAAAATCCAAGCTGCCTCGGGTAGCTATTCAACCCCACAGCACGCGTCAGGAAGAATGAGATGGGAATGAATAACTTAATAAGTCTGAACGGTTGAGGAAGAAAGAACAGGAAATGACCCAGACAGGAAAATGTGAGAGAGGAGATAGACAGAAGGAGGAGGAGAGGATATAAGGGGGAAACAGAAGACAGAACACGAGATGGGAAAAGTAAGAGGAAGAACAAAAAAGGTAAAGAAAGGGAGGGCCGGTGAGGGGGTGTGAGCGAGGTGGGAGTTGAGCACAATAAGGAGATAGAGGGCTTTCATTTGCCCACTGCCAGTTTGCGCCTTTCTGCACAGCGAGTGATAAAAGAGGCAGCCAACAAAGTCTCCTAATCAAGACAAACCTTCACCCCAAGCAGATGGAGTGAGGGAGGGGGGAGGAGAGGACAGGGAGAGCGAGAGAAAGGATGGAGGAGTGTTATTTGCTCCATGTGAGGATGCGGGCAGGATTTATAGAGCGGTTTGTGGTGGCGAGATACAAGAAGCCAGAGGAATTGGGACTGTGGACACGCTGCAGGCGAGGGGCTGCCGCCGAAATCTTCGGGCTACTTAAGGGGGGAGAGATGCGGGGCGGCGGGGCTGCGTGTCTGTTTTCACTGAGTGCTGTTGGGAGATGTTTACGACAGCCGAGACACACCCCATTAATAATATTGCCATCGAACATGCTGCCACTCGCTGCTTGTGTGTGTGTGTGTGTGTGTGTGTGTGTGTGTGTGTGTGTGTGTGTGCGCGTGCGTGCGTGTGCGCGTGTGCGTGTGTGTGTGTGTGTGCGTGTGTGTGTGTGTGTGCGTGCGTGCGTGCGTGCGTGTGTGTGTGTGTGTGTGTGTGTGTGTGTGTGTGTGTGTGTGTGTGTGTGTGTGTGTGTGTGTGTGTGTGTGTGTGTGTGTGTGTGCGTGCGTGTGTGCGTCTGAAGATCCAAAACGAAGGCGCCTGGCAGAAAGAGGCCGTTGTGGGGGAGAGGCCGGTTGTTGGTCACAGCCCACAGCTACATACTGATATACACCTGAACATCAGCAGGAAAGGACTCTTTAAAGTAGAGACACTACATACTGATATACACCTGTGTGTGTGTGTGTGTGTGTGTGTGTGTGTGTGTGTGTGTGTGTGTGAAAAGTTTTTCAGAAGCTACTTTAATAAGCAATTACTCATTAGAGCAATTTTTCGAATGATCTCTTACCAAACAACATTTACTCATTTTAATTCTCAATCAATATCTTTGGTTTAAACTAATCTGGTTCTTGTTTGACTTCAGTATATCCTTTCCCCTGATATATAACACGGCTCTATAACTCATATATTCATCACAGCTTTAAAGGGGCCCTTTTTTGCTTTTTGTAGTGTGTTATAGGTTCTGTGAATTTAAATGGTCTGCAGAGTCTAAAATCCCAAAATGCACGCCAGTTTCTCTCCCACACACTCGATTGATGAGTTGAATACGTCCTCTCTAACTTCCTACATTTGACTTTTAATAAGTGGGTAATTATGAAATAACCTTTTTAGAATTACGTCCCAAAACATTGAAGAAAGCAAGAGTAGTATTACAACTTATAACATATTACATTATAACATAATACCTTAAGCTCAGATAATAAGTTATTTGCTCAGAAACCACCTGTGATGTGTGTTTCAAAATGAAACAGTGCATTTGTTACAAGTCTTTGTAAAGTGTTTTTGAATTCAACTTGATGTGCACAGATGTGTGGCTGTGAGCGAGGGAGTTGGTGTGTGGGGGGGGTTGTAGTGACAGCTGTGGGACTTGTGATGGAAAATGTGTATGCCTGGGGGAAAGAATCAAAACAAATGACAAGTAGCTGCCCACTTAAAGTTCACTATTTGACTGAGTGCTCTAAAGAAATGCGGACGGAGATAGGCTGATGACAGAAAAGTGCTGTCTGTCTGCGAGACGTACTGAGACAAAGCAATGGACTCAGGAGATAAAGAGAAGAATGGAGTGTGGCAGAAATTGAAGGGATGACCGAGATAGGGGGGAGGACTAGCAGAAGAAGAGACTAGCGGCAACGGTGGGAGAGAAATGACCTCGGACAGGGAAAGAGGAGGGAGAGGAGAAGGAAGAGAGGAAGAATAATGAGTAGAAAAGGGAAGGCAAAGGCGGGTGAGAGCAGAGGGAGGGAGGCTTAGACGTTCTTTGTCATGTAGGAAGCAGACTGTGACAGTTACGTGAACCTTTGCTATTCTCTGTTTTTGTCCGCAACCCCCATCAGGTCACACACCTTGACAGCCAACACACACATAAACTCACTCACAGAAACAGCTGCCAAGAACGTGACAATCATACACACACATCAAAGCGCTGTTGGCATGACACTGTCTTTCACTGCAGTACAGATGAAATGAGAAAAAACAACCCCAGGAGGTCTTGTATAGCAATAAATCTCTGAGAGGGTTCTTT